ATGTGTAAGAGAGTGTATTTTGGGCAGTTAATTTGAAGCTTAAGGTATTATCTTCAAGCATCTTCCTTTCTTTTAAATCAAATTTGAATCCTGAAAGCTTTCTAACAAGACATCTTTCTTCATTTTAGAGATTCGCAGTAAGTTGTGACGGAAGGTCAATGTTTGCTTTCTTTTTATGAACGGGTATCTTTGGATATTCAGTGATATCATGGCCCACATGTTTGCCATTACAGCTATCCATGATCCAAATATACTCAAACTAAAGGAATTTCGCGCATGTCAACGCAAATTTAAGGCCGAGCACGAGAAACAACTGCTGGCTCTGGGCAAGGCCGCTACCCAACACAAGTACAAGAAGGCAGAAAAGAGCTATCCCAGTGCAGCTCGAGTTAAAGAACTCATCGGCAAAATCAAGGAAACAGTGCTCAACAACTGGGTGGACATCAGAAACGGTTTCCTCTGGCAGGATCCAACTGGCTGGGGTTCCGTGCTGCTGAAGGACTTCAGGGTATGTTGATCTGTCTAGATGCTTGTTGAGAGCATGGTATTCTACAGTGCTTGTGGTTGAGGACATCCTACACTTAGTTGATAGCACATGGCTGCCAGCACCGAAACATTTACTACCTGCGTGTAGCATAACTAATGCTTTGTTCTGTATTTTTCAATAAGGATACCCATTACAACATTCAGGAAGTCAAATTAGGCAAAAGAGCGTTTTCGATTATTCATCATCAGGCAAGTGCAGTAATATAAGGGAGGGGGATGGGGTCTTACAGTTATTTAGTGTCCCCTCGCCGTCAGTATCTCGCCTCGTGTTGGAAAGCTTGCAGGGCGCATGGTGTCTCGGTGTCGCGACGGGGTAGGCGGCGTGGTGATGAATGCTTTCTCTGTTTTTTCGCCGTCTCAGGACGTGGAAGGAAGCGTGTGGACGCATGTTGAGTGGTTCTTCGGCCATAGATGCCTTATCATCTGTACAAACGCCTTCTTTGCGCATAAAATCGGGTACGTTATCTGGATAGCGACTGCCTCTGTTGCTGCCGCTGCGAGTATCTGCCGGCGCAGGAGTGTTTTGTCGACACTTTATAAATAACTCGATATGCTTTGTCAACGTCTACCCAGTGCCGTTGCCGACCAAGTAACCCAAAATCACGCTTGATGTGGATTTTACCACGCCTCGCTTCAGCCAAACAGGATGCTGCCTAGTTGTTCAGCAAATATTAAATATTTGTTATCGAGTGAATTATTTGAGTAAATATAGCAGATGCAAAGAAATGTTTCGCACTCAACTCGCTCAAATAGAGCTAATTTTTATGAAAAAGTTGATAAGGCTAGTTTATTTGGTCGCCTAATCTCCATTCCGGACCAATGAATGATCTATATAAAAAGTAGTTTTACTTTAAATTCCAGGAAAACTAGGATTAGGATTAACGTTAGGTAGTACTTACTTAATTACTTGTACTTGTTACGGCTGCGATCATGACTGATCTAGCCGGCCTCAATTATGTCCCGAATGGTGCTTCTCCAAGCGCGACGATCCATGGCCGCTGACCTGGACAGTTCAGCCCATTCTCTTCGCCAGCACCAGAGACCGAATACCGAAGGTCCGAGAACCACTTCCATGTCTTGACGGACCGAG